TCATCTCCTTCACATAGAGTTGATCAGGCTGTTGATTGTGGCCAGTGGAATGTTGTCCCACTCCTCTTCAATGGCTGTGCGAAGTTGCTGGATGTTGGCAGGAACTGGAACACGTACACTTAGATCCAGAGCATCCCAAACATGCTCAATGGGTGACATATCTGGTGAGTATGCAGGCCATAGAAGCACTGGGACATTTTCAGCTTCCAGGAATTGTGTACTTGAGACATGGGGCCATGCATTATCATGCTGAAACATGAGGTGATGAATGACACGACAATGGGCCTCAGGATTTCATCACGGTATCTCTGTGCATTCAAATTGCCAATGCAATTGTGTTCGTTGTCCATAGCTTATGCCTGCCCATACCATAACCCCACCGCCACCATGGGGCACTCTGTTCACAACGTTGACATCAGCAAACCACTCGCCCACACAACGCCATACTGCCCAGCCATCTGCCCGGTACAGTCGAAACCGGGATTCATCCGTGAAGAGTACACATCTCCAGCTTGCCAGTGACCATCGATGGTGAGCATTTGCCCACTGAAGTCGGTTACGATGCCAAACTGCAGTCAGGTCAAGACCCTAGTGAGGACGATAAGCAAGCAGATTACCTTCCCTGGGACGGTTTCTGACAGTTTGTGCAGAAATTCTTCGGTTGCGCAAACCCACAGTTTCATCAGCTGTCCGGGTGCCTGGTCTCAGACGATCCCGCAGGTGAAGAAGCCGGATGTGGACGTCCTGGGTTAGCGTGGTTACACATGGTTTGCGGTTGTGAGGCCGGTAGGACGTACTGCCAAATTCTATAAAACCACGTTATGGTAGAGAAATGAATATTACATTCTCTGGCAACAGCTCTGGTGGACATTCCTGCAGCCAACATACCAATTGCACGCTCCCTCAAAACTTGAGACATCTGTAGCATTGTGTTGTGTGACAAAATTGCACATTTTAGAGTGGATTTTTATTGTCCCCAGCAGAAGGTGCACCTGTGTAATGATATTGCTATTTAATCAGCTTCTTGATATGCTACACCTGTCAGGTGGATAGAATATCTTGGCAAAGGAGAAATGCTCTCTAACAGGGATGGAAACAAATTTGTGCACAACATTTAAGAGAAAATAGATTTTTGTGCGTATGGAACATTTCTGGGATCTTTTATTTCAACTCATGAAACATGGGCCCAACACTTTACATGTTGCATTTATATTTTTGTTCAGTATAGTTTGATAACGGCTGAACACTGTACATTTCTATATTTTTACCTCATAAATGTATACATTTGACATCAATTTATGTTGGAAGGTAAAATGAAATTGTATACACTGAGTGTAAAAAAACATTAAGAACACCTTAATATTGAGTTGCCTTCCTAATAAGCATTCCACAGGGATACTGGCCCATGTTGACTCCAATTCTTCCCACAGTTGTGTCAAGTTGGCTGGATGTCCTTTCGGTGGTGGACCATTCAATAAACACGGGAAACGGTTGAGCGTGAAAAACACAGCAGTGTTGCAGTTCTTGACACAAACCGGTGTGCCTGGCACCTACTACCATACCCCGTTCAAAGGCACTTAAATATTTTGTCTTGCCCATTCACCCTCTGAATGGCACACATACACAATCCATGTCTCAATTGTCTCAAGGCCTAAAAATTCTTCTTTAACCTGTCTCCTCCCCTTCATCTACACTGATTGAAGTGGATTTAACAAGTGACATCAATAAGGGATCTTAGCTTTCACCTGCATTCCTTTTTGGTTCCAGAGAGAACCCTCTGTAGAAAGGGTTCTACATACATTTACGTCATTTAGCAGAAGCTCTTATCCAGAGCGACTTACAGGAGCAATTAGGGTTAAATGCCTTGCTTAAGGGCACTTCGACAGATTTTTCACTTAGTCGGCTCTGGGATTTAAACCAGCGACCTTTCGGTTACTGGCTCAATGCTCTTAACCGGTAGGCTACCTGCCGCCCAAAAGGGTTCTACCTGCAACCAAAAAGGGTTCTTCAAAGGCTTATCCTATGGGGACAGCCGAAGAACCCTTTAAGTTTCTAGATAGCACCTTTTTTTCTAAGTGTGTAGTGTACAATGCACTGCTGAAATACCTGGGTTGTATTTAACAATATATTCCACTCACTATCTGAATTTCATTGATGCACTGTAAGCTAATGAATTTTGTCAAGCAGATAGATATGCGATACTGTATCAGTTGACAAGTCACGTAGAAAATGTGATCTTTGACAATGTTGCATGGGGCAGAAAACACTATGCTACGTTTTTACAGTAGCAAACTGCTTTACAATACCCCTATTTCTGATGATTTGTCGTATGTACTGTATAAGGATAATACAACTGTAAGACTGACATAATTCTCAACATCCTCACAACCTGCCATGGGATACAAATTATTTAAAAAATGGTGCATGTCAATTTATAGTTAAATACTGTATGGAAAATGTGATTGGATTAAATGGTACTTAAAATGACTAAATGGTAAGCCTATCATTATCTGATGTATTGGTGACTAAACGAAATGTGCTCATGGTATTTCATGGAAAACTTAGATTTTGCATGAATGGGGTGAAAGATGTGTGAAACCCCAATGAATGCACAATCAAAGGTTCTGAACATAAGATAGGGGGCATTACAAGTGTTATCAGTTTAGAGTTTTTTACTTAAAATTTTGAAAATGTACCACTTACATCTGAACATTTTTCCAAAGTGATTGAAAAAAAACTGTAATGTGGGAAATTTATCAATTGATTTAGGCTGTGCTATATTGTTGCTTAAATCATATAATCAAATACAAATCATGTAATTGAAGTGGATGTGATTAGTTTAGAAAATGCAAAGGAAGGTTGTCATCCTCTTCCTCTTCCCTCTGCATGAGCAATCAATATAATGGATATCTGTTAGGTTAAGTGGTTTTCAATGTAATCCGGCTGATTAAATTGTGTGTCAGTGTGTGTGCGTGTGTGTGTGTGTGTGTGTGTGTGTGTGTGTGTGTGTGAGGGAGTGAGTGAGTGAATGTGAGTGTCACTGTGAGTGTCAATGTGTGTGTGTGTGTGTGTGTGTGTGCTATCATTATTGATGCATTCCTGCAGCAGTTACACTCTTATAAAAAAGGGTTCCAAAAGGGTTCTTCGGCTGTCCCCATAGGAGAACCCTTTTGGGTTCCATGTAGAACCCCTCTGTAGAAAGGGTTCTACCTGCAACCAAAAAGGGTTCTTCAACGGGTTCTCTTATGGGGACAGCCGAAGTACCCTTTAAGGTTCTAGATAGCATCTTTTTTTCTAAGAGTGTAGGCTACTGATGCTGCTATAGTTTACAGGGGGATTTCCTTCCTTCCTTCCTTCCTTCCTTCCTTCCTTCCTTCCTTCCTTCCTTCCTTCCTTCCTTCCTTCCTTCCTTCCTTCCTTCCTTCCTTCCTTCCTTCCTTCCTTCCTTCCTTCCTTCCTTCCTTCCTTCCTTCCTTCCTTCCTTCCTTCCTTCCTTCCTTCCTTCCTACTCACTCACTCACTCACTCATTCATTTCCTTCACTCAAAGTAGGAATGCTGATCTAGGATCAGGTCCCCCCTGTCCATGTAATCCTACTCATTATGATCAAAAAAGTTAAACAGCTAGAATCTAGCCACTAGCTGTTTTAGCCAGAGCTTTATGTCTCAGACCTCTGTCAAGGGCAACCACAGAAGCAACACACATAGTCTTGGACCAATCAGTGTTCACTGTCCAGCTCTAAGGGACACGCTATCTTCAGCATTACAGGTGCATTTCCTCCATTCATCCTTCCGATCTAGGTCTGTATTCATAAAGCGTCTCAGAATAGGAGTGCGGATCTTGGATCAGGTCCCACTGTCCATGTAGATCTTATTCATTATGCTCTAAAAGGCTAAACTGATCCAAGATCAGCATGGTGTGTGTGACAGCAGGCAGCACCAGTCTATACAGCAGAGGTCATGTGTGGAATGAACTCATCGGGACCAGGCGTAACACACACACACTCCGGACCAGGCGTGTGCAGGAATTACATAACGTCTGGTCCTCCTTCCTTATTAATATTTAACTGTTCTGACAGCCCATTGAGGACAGCTATTTATAAAGACCACTGTCAAACTGTCACATGTTAACACTTAGCTAGAGAAATCTCTGCCCTCTCTCACGCTATGGCTGCATCCCAAATGGCAATCTATTATCTATATCAGGGGTATTCAAGTCTTACCCTACGAAGTCCGGAGCCTGCTGGTTTTCTGTTCTACCTGATAATTAATTGTACTCACCTGGTGTCCCAGGTCTAAATCAGTCCCTGATTATAGGGGAACAATGGAAATACGCAGTGGAACTAGCTTTGAGGTCCAGAGTTGAGTTTGATAGCCCTATATAGTGCACTATTTTTGACCAGGGCCCATAGGGCTCTGGTCAAAGTTAGTGCACTATATAGGGAATAGGGTATCATTTGTGATGCCAGCCTATCTCTCCTCCTTCAACCTCTCAGCCTCTCTGTATCTCAATCAGTTACAGAGACCATCCATCTCGTGTGCTCTGTGTTCTTGTGACTAGCATTATTATGGATCTTGAGTGCTGCAGTTTATTGTAGTTGGTGGTATAACTATTTGTTTTATTTCTATACCTCTGTTAAATATCATTCCTCTGTTTCTGTCCCGTACGTACTTCGGTCTCTTTTCAAACACTATAAATTCATCCCTCTATCCCCTCTTTTTTGTCTTGGTGGGTTCATTTTAGTCCAATTAATGAATTCCCATATCAAGGTAGTAGTGACTCCCCATTTACAATACATTTACGTAATTTAGCAAACACTCTTATCCAGAGCGACTTACAGTAGTGAGTGCTTACATTCTTATACTTTTTCATTACTGGTCCACAACCCTGACGTTGCAAGCGCCATGCTCTACCAACTGAGCCACATGGGACCCCCTTAGGTCTGTCTATCTACCTGTGTGATTAATTGACTCTCCACCTCTCCCTCCTCCCCAGTCTAACATGAAGAGCATGGAGCGCGAGCTGCATTGCCCAGTGTGTAAGGAGATCGTCAAGCAGCCCGTGGTCCTGCCATGTCAGCACAGCGTCTGCCTGATGTGTGCCTCAGAGGTCCTGGTTCAAAATGGCTACCCTCCTCCGGAGCTGCCGCCCGAGCCCAACTCTCCTGCCTCCACCCCCAACACCCGCTCTCCCCACCAGGCACGCAGGTCCATGCCCAGCAAGGCCGACCATCGACCCATCGACCGCGTGCTACGTTCAGGTAATGTGTGTGTGTGTGAGTGTGTGCACATGAGAGAGAGTGTGTGTGTGTCTTTAGATCCACTGTCGAATGTGACGATCAATAGGACTAGTCTGGGGATGCGATGGGAATACACACAACCTCTTCTCATTATCTCTTTCTCTATTCTCCTCCACTCTTTACCCATCCCCCTCTCCCACCCTGTGTCCAGGACTTGGGATGTATCAGTCGCCGGGGCGACGGCGTAAGGAACCGCCCCCTGCGATGTTGTTTCCATGCCCACCCTGTGGGAGGGAGGTAGAGCTGGGAGAAAAGGGCCTGACTGACTGCCTGCGTAACCTCACCTTGGAACGCATTGTAGAGAGGTAACACACATACTTACACTTATACACGCACGCACACATGCACGTATGCACAGGCATATGTAGTGGAGGTGTCGGCTCATGGTCTTGTGAGCCCTTACGGGACATATCTCGAATTTTACGTGATCCCATGTGATCTTATGTGAAGTTAATGTGATAACATGTAAAGCAACGTGAAATCATGATCACATTTGGTGTTCCAAAATTACGTTTTCACATGATTTTCTGAATTTAGCGTGAGGGAGGATGTAGCCCTCCCTGCCTGCAAAATCAGTGTCACCGTCAGGAAGGAATTTCCTCTTGGTCTGTTTAAGATGTTTGTTCCCAAGCGGTTCAGATCTCACATTTACATTTGAGTCATTTAGCAGATGCTCTTATCCAGAGCGACTTACAGGAGCAATTAGGGTTAAGTGCCTTGCTCAAAGGCACCTCGACAGATTTTCCACCTAGTCGGGGATTCAAACCAATAACCTTTCAGTTACTGGCCCAAGCTCTTAACCGCTAGGCTACCTGCTGCCCCTGACACACACACACGCACACACACACTCACACAAAGACACAAACAAAAACAGCATTCATACTGTGGTCGGTCGTTACATGCCTAAATGCTGCAGGGTAGGCTATAGTGTAACATTTCAATTAGTATCAGCTTTAGCCCCCTGAACAGTGAGTAAGAGAATGTGTCCAAGTACTGCGTCCCAAATGGCACCTTGGTAAAAAGTAGTGCGGCCCCTGGTCAAAAGTAGTGTACTATATAGGGAATAGGGTGCCAAGTGCTGACTCTTGTTAATCAGCATGAAGCTGAGCTAGAGAGGAAACTAGCAGATCTCACAAACTAGCAGAGCTCCTGCAACCTACTGCAGCAGACAGACTGCACTTCCACTGGATTACTGTAGTGTAACTGCTAACAGCTTATTTTCCCTATGTACAGTAACCTCGTTATGCTATTTATCACCCTGTCTACCCATCCCCTCTCTCTCTGTCTTGGCACCGTTCTCTCCTTCCACCATCATTTGTCTCTCTTTCTTTCGCCTCTTTCTCCCTCACTCACCCCCTTTCTACTACTATCCTGCCCTAATTTGCCCAATGCTCTCTCTCTCTCCTCTACCCTCCTTCCCCCACTCCCTTCCTCTCTCCCCTCCTCCTCTCAGGTACAGACACACAGTGAGCCTGGGCAGTGTGGCTGTGATGTGTCAGTTCTGCAAGCCTCCCCAGTCCCTGGAGGCCACTAAGGGCTGCGCCGACTGCCGAGCCAGCTTCTGTAACGAGTGTTTCAAGCTCTACCACCCCTGGGGGACACCGCGCGCCCAGCACGAACACGTCCAGCCCACCCTCAACTTTAGGCCCAAGGTGAGGCCTGCCTCTCTCTCATCCCTCTCTCTCCTCTCTCATCCCTCTCTATCCTCTCTCATCCCTCTCTCTCCTCTCTCATCCCTCTCTCTCCTCTCTCATCCCTCTCTCTCCTCTCTCATCCCTCTCTCTCCTCTCTCATCCCTCTCTATCCTCTCTCATCCCTCTCTATCCTCTCTCATCCTTCTATCCTCTCTCTCCCCTCTCCTCCCATCCCTCTTATCCTCTTCATCCCTCTCTATCCTCTCATCCTCTCTATCCTCTCATCCTCTCTATCCTCTCTCATCCCTCCTCTCCTCTCTCATCCCTCTCTCCCTCTCTCATCCCTCTCTATCCTTCTCATCCCTCTCTATCCTCTCTCATCCCTCTCCTCCTCTCTCATCCCTCTCTCTCCTCTCTCCCTCCTCTCCATCCCTCGATCCTCTCTCATCCCTCCTATCCCTCTCATCCCCTCTATCCTCTCTCATCCCCTCTATCCTCTTTCATCCATCCTCCCTCTCTCAGCCCTCTCTACCTCTCTCACCCTCCTATCCTCTTTCATCCACTCTCTCCTCTCTCTCCTCCTCTCTCATCCCCTCTCTCCCTCTCTCCCCCTATCCTCTCTCCTCTCTCTCCCTCTCTCCCCTCTATCCTCTCCATCCCTCTCCTCCCTCTCTCCCCTCTCACCCTCTGCCCCTCTCTATCCTCTCTCTCCCCTCTCTCCTCCTCTCTCCCCTCTATCCTCCTCCTCCCCTCTCTCCTCTCTCTCCCTCTCTTCCTCTCTCATCCCTCTCTATCCTCTCTCACCCTCTCTATCCCCTCATCCCTCCTCTCCCTCTCCATCCTCCCCCTCTCATCCTCTCTTCCCTCTCATCCTCTCTATCCTCCCTCCCTCCTCCTCCTCTCTCTCCCTCTCACTCTCATCCTCTCCATCCGTCGAACCTCCGAGCCTCACGCTCCCACCACGCTCAGCCGCTCTAGCCGCCGCCCATCAGCCCGCGAGCGCGCCTCTCTCACCAGCCCTTCCTGCGCACCGACCCCGCCTGACCCGCTCTAGTCCTCGCTCACCCCTCTACCCTCATCCCTCTCATCAGGCGCAGCCCAGCACCCTCACCCCTCTTGAGAGATGCACCACGGTCATTCTCCTCTCTCCCCCCATCCCTCTCTCCTCTGCTAGCCGCTCTCTCTCTCTCATCCCTCTTCTCTCTCTATCCCTCCTCTCCTCATCCCTCTTGCCTCTCCTCGTCCAGGTTCTGTCGTGTCCGGAGCATGACCAGGAGCGTCTGCATTTCTACTGTAGGACGTGCCAGCGGTTGCTGTGTCCGCTCTGCAAGCTGCGTCGCGTCCACGCCGGGCACAAGGTGGCGCCAGTCGCCCAGGCCTACCAGACTCTCAAGGTGGGCATCTGGGTGCAATAGCTTAATTGGTTATAGCATGGTTCCTGCATTGGCCTTATACTGTACAATATACTGAATAATGTATGTAATACATTTGAGCTGCTTTGCATAAAAGTACCTGCTAAATGGTAATATTGTTATACTCTATGGCATTAGTGGATATCACACGCAATGGAGATTGGCCATCAATGGTTGGTGGTTAGTCTAGTAGTACAGTGCATGACAGAAAAGGGGTAAGAGTAGCCATTGAACTGTGGGTTTAGGTCATCCAGTGTGTAAGAGATGAGTACAGTTAAAATGTAGGGTAATACAGAGCTACTGTTGTGCATTAGGATTAAGTCTGGTCTGGGTATTAACTCTTTGTTTGTTGTCACTGTTTATTTGGCAGGACAAGATTACCAAGGAGATGAACTACATTCTGGCCAACCAGGAGACAGTGCTGGGCCAGATCACACAGCTGGAGAGTGCCATCACTCAGACAGAGGTGACTAAATAATATTGCAGTCTGCAGAGCTCCAGAAAAAAGCAGGATCAATGAGTTAGCCAGCTAACTTTGATAAACAACCAGGAATAACTATATATTTTCTGGTTCATTAAGAAAATTAAACTTAGATATGTGTTTTTTGTTGTTGGGTCAATTAGACCATGGCCATTTCAAGTTATTTCAGAATATTTAGGTGAGTTAGGATCATTGATCCTACTGACCACACCACCATGGACAACATTGTTTACCACAGTAAACATAATGTGCTACTGTATACTGTATATATAATATCTTGCTCTAGGGTCCTAACCTGTGTGTTTCTGTGGAATACATAATCTCTGTGGTCCTCCTAATCTCCCTGTGTGTTGCTGTCTGACTGTTGAACAGCGTAGCCAGTCTTAATCACAGAATGAAATAGAACACGACTCTAGAATAATATAGATGAATATGCAGTATATCTCTATGGTCCTAACCTCATTGTGTGTTGCTGTCTGTCCCCAGGCGAACAGCGTAGCGGCACGGGAGCAGCTGTCTCAGAGCGTGAGGGACCTGACTGCCCTCCTCGCCGAGCGCCACGCCTCATTGGCCCAAGCCCTGGAGGGGGCGCGGCAGAAGCGGGGCGAGGCGTTGGCGGGCCAGGTGGCGGAGAGGCGGAGCTTGCTGGAGCATGCAGGCCTCATGGCGTTGTCCCAGGAGCTGCTGAAGGAGACGGACCCGCCCTGCTTTGTCCAGGCAGCGCGCCAGACACATAGCAGGTACACACAATAGGTCTGACTGGCTGGACGGCAGACAGCTTGGCAACTTATACAAATAGCACCCTATTGTTATACAAATGGCAGCCCATTCTTAAACAAATAACACCCTATTCCACATAGGGCTCTGGTCAAAAGTAGTGCACTGGAGGGAATAGGGTGCTATTTGGGACGCATACCTAGGGCTCTTTAACTCCCTAGTTTTGTTGTTTGTTCATTTTTCTGTACCTTTGTTTGTTTGTTTCTCTGTTCGTATTGTTCCATTTCTCCTCCCACTCCTTCTATCAATGTCTATTGTCTATGCTTCTTTCCCTTTTTTGTGTATGTTTTCACTGCTCATCCCACATCATCAGCAAAATGACAAATGGACACAAGAGGGAGTCAGTGGACCTGTTTGATAAAGATAACATGGTGTGGTTTTAGTGATGGTGTTCTATTTACATTTAAATTTTTAGTCATTTACTAGTTGTGCTCCAACCAGTATTCACTGTTTCCAATGATAGTTTGTTAGACTGACACTGGCATGTATTCACACCTCTTGACTTCTTCCACATTTTGTTGTGTTACAGCCTGAATTTTCATTGGATTACATTTCTGATCTACACACAATACCCCACAATGTCACAGTGGAATTATGTTTTTAGAAATGAATTCAAATGAAATGCTGAAATGTCTTCAGTCAATAAGTATTCAACCCCTTTGTTATGGCAAGCCTAAATAAGTTCAGAAGTAAAAATGTGCTTAACAAATCGCATAATAAGTTGCATGGACTCATTCCATGTTCAATAATATTGGTTAACAGGAATTTTGAATAACTACCCCATCTCTGTACCCCACACATACAATTATCTGTAAGGTCCCTCAATCGAGTAGTGAATTTCAAACACAGATTTAACCACAAAGACCAGGGAGGTTTTTCAAAGCCTCGCAAAGAAGGGCACCGATTGCTAGATGTGTAAAAATAAAAAAGCAGATGCTGAATAGCCCTTTGAGCATGGTGAAGTTATTAATTAGGCTTTGGATGGTGTATCAATACACCCAGTCACTACAAAAATACAGGCGTCCTTCCTAACTCAGTTGCCGGAGAGGAAGGAAACTGCTCAGGGATTTTACATGAGGCCAATGGTGATATTAAAACAGTTACAGTGTTTAATGGTTGTGATATGAGAAAACTTAGGATGGATCAACAACATTGTATTTACTCCATAGTGAAAAGAAGGAAGCCTGTACAGAATAAAAATATTCCAAAACATGCATCCTGCTTGCAACAAGGCACTTAAATAATACTGCAAGAAATGTGGCAAAGAAATTAACTTTTTGTACTGAATACAAAAGCATTATATTTGGGGCAAATCCAACAACACATCACACAAGAGTACCACTCTTCATATTTTCAAGAATGGTGGTGCTGCATCATGTTATGGTATGCTTGTAATCTGCAAGGACTAGGGAGGTTTTTAGGATAAAAAGAAACAGAATAGAGGTACGCACAGGCAAAATCCTAGAGGAAAACCTGGTTCAGCCTGCTTTCCAACAGACACTGGGAGACAAATTCACCTTTCAGCAGGACAATAACCTAAAACACAAGGCCAAATATACACTGGAGTTGCTTACCAAGATGACACTGAATGTTTCTGAGTGGCCGAGTTACAGTTTTGACTAAAATCGGCTTGAAAATCTATGGCAAGACTTGGAAATGGCTGTCTAACAATGATCAACAATCAACTTGACAGAGCTTAAAAAAAAAAAAGGGCAAATATTGTACAATCCAGGTGTGCAAAGCTCTTAGAGACTTACCCAGAAAGATTCACAGCTGTAATCTCAGCCAAAGGTGATTCTAACATGTATTGATTCAGGGGTGTGAATACTTATGTAAATTAGATATTTCTGTATTTAATCTTCAATACATTTGGCCAATTTTCTTTAAACATGTTTTCACTTTGTCATTATGGAGTATTGTTTATAGGTGGGTGAGAAAAAAAATCTATTTACTCAATTTTGAATTCAGGCTGTAACACAGCAAAATGTGAAATAAGTCAAGGGGTATGAATACTTTCTGAAGGCACTGTATGTGAAAATGAACATACCAAAATGAACTGCAAAGCACACTGGGTATTATTATTGGCCTTTTTTCGGGGTCACGTCTTGATGGGATACAGCTTAGCCTAATTCTCCTAACCTGCTACGTTAATTATCCTAACCTGCTGCGTATGTTCTTCTAAACCTGCTATGAAAAGTACATTTTGACAAAAGCTGTATCCCTTCTAAACAAAACCTTGTTTTGGGGTGGAGCTCATTAGAATAATACTGAGCATGCTTTGCAATTGGCCATTTTTACATACACATTTATATTTAGTTCATTTAGCAGACGTTCTTATTATACCATAGTGCCATCAGACTTCTGATACCAATGTAGGGTGAAAGGGGGCCACAAAATGGTGAACCGCTATAAAAAAAAGTGTATATTTTGAAAATACTAATTATAGCTCTTGAAAGTATCTTGTTACAAAATACATTGGAATGTAGTTCAGCCCAGTGCATTACAAATTACAAAATGCTCAGAAGTGATTGAAATACATATTTCAAATACATGTTGTAGAAATACTGCCCATCTATGTGCGTATTATCCTAATAATTGTTAAGTCTGCATAGTGCATACCTACCTCCCCCGACTTGCATATCTCGTCTACTCCCAAACAATTATTCTAAACATCTCCCCCTTTCTCTCTCGCGCTTCCTCCTCTCTCCCTCTCTCTCCCTCCCCTCTCTCCATCTCGCTCTCCCCCCTGCCGCTCTCTCCAAGGTTATCCACGTCCATCGAGGGGCTGCAGTGTTTCTCTCTGGCCGCTGATCCCTCCTTCAGACACTTCCAGCTGGACGTCTCCAAAGAGCTCAAACTCCTCACAGACCTGCAGTTCATCCAGGGTGAGAGAGAGGATAAGAGGAGGCTTAAGGAGGGGACTAGGGGGCTAGGGAGGGGTAGAGGGATAGAGTCAACCAGAGAGGGTTAGGGCAACGTCATCTCGCTGAGTCTGCCTTTAATTATGTAATATTACTGCATCTTCAAATATATATTAGCAAACTGTAATGAACATTTGGTAGTATTGCATATGTAATCAAGCCAGAGAGAATTGTATGTTTGTGTATCTAACATCTGAATGACAGCTGTAATGTTTTCTCCCATCAGCCCCTCTGGCCCCTGTCATTGACACCCAAAAGACCCTGGCCTATGACAAGCTTTTTCTGTGTTGGCGGCTGCCTCAGGAATCCGCCGCCGCCTGGCACTTCTCTGTCGAGTTCCGTCGCCGGGGGGTGGTGCCAGGAGGTGGGGCCAGGGGTGGTATCCAAGGACGATTGGCTGCGGCCCGATGGGGCTGGCAGCGGCTGGAGGAAGTGGGCGGGACTAGTGCAGTGATTGACAGGTTGGAGATGGACAGTGTGTATGTGTTGAGGGTGAGAGGCTGCAACAAGGCGGGCTTCGGGGAGTACAGTGAGGAGGTGTACCTACACACTCCGCCAGCACCAGGTGAGGTCTATACACCGTTCTATAGACGCACACACTGTACACACGCACACGCACAAACACAAACACAAACACAATCACAAACACACACACACACACACACACACACACACACACACACACTTGGCCTCATCATAAGCTGATATGCATTAGAACAGTATCCATGGAGATCATCTTAATGACAAATGTCTCTCTTTTTCTGCCCATTCCCATCCTTCTCTCTACCAATACCATCCATCTCTCCTCCCATGCCTCTCTTTACCCATCCCATCTCTCTATCCAACCCATCCTCTTTCCTCTTTACACTTTGTCTTCACATATCTCTCCTCATCTCACTCATTCCGCTCCTAGGTCCAATCTCACAATCCACATCTCTCCCTCTGCCTGTTAGTGTGAGCATCTACATCATTTTCTCCTTTTTCCTCTTGCTGCTTCGCACATATCTCTACCTCTTTTTACATTTATACCATGCATCTCTTGTCCTCCCAGCCACCCTCTTTCTCCCTCTCTCCCATAATGATATCTCAGTGTGTTGATGAGGTTTGCTGTTTGTTAAGACCTGAAGCTTAACACATGGATTTGGTTGATTGAGATCCATGCTAATGGGTCTGAGAAGTCCTGAGTGGTCAATGTATCCCTCGTCTCCCCTGGTAAAATCTTCTATCCTGTTATATTTCCCTCAGGAATATTAATCCCAAAAATTATTCCAATAATAATCCCAGTTTAGGAAAGATGCATCCCCTGCTCTTTTCATTGACCTTTTGCTTTGACTGTTTTCTATCAGTTTCCAGTTTGTTGATGAAAGACAGTTTGACTCCCTCTCTATTAGTCCTTGTCTCCTTTCCTCATTCCAGAGGAGATGCATGTTCTCTATACCTCTCCCCTCTCAGTTCTTTCCTTGCCCTGATTCTATGTCTTACTACTCCTCTATCCCTGTATTTACGTCCTCTGTGCCCTTAACTTCTACCCTCTTTCCTATTTCACTTCTTTACTCCATCCCATCAAAACCCTCCCCTTCCCGCTTCTCTCTTTCCTGAAAATGCACTCCTTCTTCCACCCTCCCTCCCTCTCTCCCTCCATCTCCCTCTCCTCCTGCCTCCCTCCATCTCACTCTCATCCCCTGCCCTCCTCTCTCAGTGTTAAATTTCTACCTGGACTCTCGCTGGGGTCTCCATGCTGACCGGCTGGTGGTGAGTAAGGAGCAGCGCTGCGCCCGGAGCGTCCCCGGTCTGTCCCTGTTGCAGGCCACCGACCTAGCGCTCACTTCCTGTCACCTGACTGCAGACCTCCTGGTGGGCGATGTGGCCATCACCCAGGGCAGGCACTACTGGGCATGCTCAGTGGAGCCCGGCTCCTATCTGGTCAAGGCAAGTGGAACAGCTGGGAAGAGAGTTTTGCCCAATACCATATCGTCCCCAAAGCGCCGTGCCCTATTCACCTGTGGAGATCTGAGAGGATTTGACAAGTGAAATCCATTTGGTAATAGCTCCACCTTGCCCTCTGATAGGCTAAGTGGAAGTTTACCCATATTGCTAATACCAATCAAATCCTCACAGATCTCCACTAGTGCATAGGGTTTAGAGAACAATTTGGGATTGGCCCTTACTGTACACTACCGGTCAAAAGTTTTAGACACAGGGCAGCAGGTAGCTTAGTGGTTAAGAGCCTTGTGCCAGTAACCGAAAGGTCGCTGGTTCTAATCCCCGAGCCGACTAGGTGAAAAATCTGTCGATGTGCCCTTGAGCAAGGCACTTAACCCTAATTGCTCCTGTAAATCGCTCTGGATAAGAGCGTCTGCTAAATGACTAATTATTATAACACCTACTCATTCAAGGTTTATTTTTTATTTTGACTATTTTCTACATTGCAGAATAATAGTGAAGACATCAAAACTATGAAATAACACATATGGAATCATGTAGTAACCAAAAAAGTGTTAAACAAAAATATATTTTATATTTGAGGTTCTTCAAATAGCCACCCTTTGCCTTGATGACAGCTTTGCACACTCATATGCTCAGCATATGTGGGAACTCCTTCAAGACTGTTGGAAAAACATTCCAGGTGAAGCTGGTTGAGAGAATGCCAAGAGTGTGCAAAGCTGTCATCCAGGCAAAGGGTGGCTATTTGAAGAACCTTAAATATAAAATATATTTTGATTTGTTTATAACTTTTGTGGTTACTACATTATTCCATATGTGTTATTTCATAGTTTTGATGTCTTCATTATTATTCTACAATGTAGAAAATAGTAAAAATAAAGAAAATACCATGAATGAGGAGGTGTTCTAAAACATTTGACCGGTGGTGTACTGTAGATGGTGTGGTGTATCTTGTAAGTTTTTTGTAGGCTATATACAAAAACTTGTATGAAAATGAATGTGTGATCATATGTGTTTTTGCATGTTGACCTCTTGGGTAATGATGTACTCTGGGGTCTGAAATTATTGGCACCCTTGATAAAGATGAGCAAAAAAGACTGTGTAAAATATATAATACAAATACTGAGCTATATTGTATGCACAACAAATGTGGAAATTATGTTATTTTGTGCTAATATAATTGCTCAGAGAAAGAGATTTAGTTAACAACACATATTTATTTTTCTCAAAAAGATAGGGGTCAAGATTATTGGCACCCCCTTTTCAGTGGCTCTCTCTATCTGTTCCACAGGTGGGGGTGGGCCTAGAGACCAAACTACAGGAGTGGTTTCATCTTCCCCAAGACATGGCCAGTCCCCGGTGAGTGGTGCTGGAGGTTAAGGCTGTAAAGTGCATGGAGTACAGGAAGTAGTCAATGGAAAATATGTTGAGGAGAGACTGACCTACATCAGGGCTTGTATAAAAAAGTGCTGGTCTAGGATCACTTTATCCTTTTACAGCGTAATGAATAAGATTACATGGACAGAGGGACATGAAGATCAGCCTTCCTACACTGAGACGCTTTAGGAATACGGGCCCTAGTTGTGTGTGTGTATGACTCAGCTTTCTCTCTCTCTCTCTCTCCTCGGAGCGCGAGCGAGACGAGCGAGACGCGAGAGCGAGAGACGAGCTGAGCACGAACAACGAGACGCGCGAGAGCGCAACGCGCGCGCGAGGCGCCTCACTCTCCATCTCGCTCTCTCCCACACTCGCTCTCCCCCCCCCCCCCCCGGCCCCCCCCCCCCCCCCCCCCCCCCCCTGTAGCTATGACCCAGACAGTGGCCATGACAGTGGGGCGGAGGATTCCTTGGACTCCCCTCCCCCCTTCTCCTTCCTCACCATGGGCATGGGCAAGATCTTCCTGCCCCACGCTCCCAACCATCATAACAACCACGGTTGCCCCGCCAATGGCACCAGCCCTCGCCGCAGCCCCACAATCGCCAACGGAAACAGCCCCGCCTCCTCGCCTACGGGCCTCACCTACCCACTGCCTCCCAGGCTCGGGGTGTGCCTTGACTTCGAGAAGGGTCGCGTCACTTTCTACGATGCCCACTCGCTCCGTCCACTGTGGGAGGGGCCTGTCGATTGCTCCGGCCCCGTTTGTCCGGCTTTCTGTTTTATTGGCGGAGGGGCGCTGCAGTTACAGGAGCTGGTGGCCAATCGGATGGCAGACCAGACTCCAGTCAGGAGGGTCACCATCCAATCACGTGTCACTAATCTGAATAACTAGGCCAGGATTCAATCCGAAACCACGGTGTAGCGCGCTTGACATTTAAAAGGTAATTTCCAATTGAGACGACATCTGCAACGTTTACCTTGAGTGCGATCTCCACAAACACGGTAACATTGCCTTTAAAAAGCGCATTGAATCCTGGTCCTAATCTGAGGTGATAGAATGTAAAGTTAATTGTAAGCTATTTACTTGGCCGGAGCAAAAAGTTAGTAACCTCAGAGATTGTGTTGTTTTGTATTTTATTTGTATGAGAAAACTAGTTTTTATTGCAACCAATATGCAAATGTTTTGAACTTTATTACATTATTTTTTGGTTTACATTTTATTTTGTCAGAAATACTAAATTGCTTAAGTAGGGGCTGCCAAATTACACAAATAGCAAATATGTAATGTCTCATTATATCTTTGACACTTGCGCTATTAACCATGCTAAACTGTATATATTTACAGTATATATGTATATATATATATATGCAAGAACATATTTATTTTAGAAACACTCTTTCTCAGTCATGTTCTGTCTGGGTGTTCATCTATGTCAGGGGTATTCAAATCTTACCCTACAAGGTCCGGACTACTGCTGGTTTCCGTTCTACCTGATAATGAATTGCACCTACTTGGTGTCCCAGGTGGAACTGGCTTCGAGGTCCAGATTTGAATTTGAGGGATCTATGTTTTTTGATACTTCATGTAACAGGTCCCCCTTCACTGTGTACTAACACTAATTACACATTTACGTCTGTGTATCACCAATGGAAAAAAGTCCTGACTGTTAGTGAAATCTTCCCACTCACTCCATCACAACCCCAACCAAAGTGATTTCTCTGGACTAAATACTGTTGTAATTGAGTAGACAGTAGATTTAGGTAGGAGGATAACATGATCATGAGGCAATACTGTAATTAGGAACTGAATGATACTGCTTCGGCTTCAGCCACCTTTATCACTTGCTTCTTGATTAATATGTTTGTGCATTAATTGTTTATCCAATGTTTAACTTCCGCAGTGTGTGTGTGTGTGTGTGTGTGTGTGTGTGTAGGAGAAGGAGTGAGACTGCAGTTAAAATGATTCACTTGTCTGATAATCATATTGATCACCATTGGCTAATGATAATGTTGGCTTTTAGGGAATATTTTTGATTATTTCAAAGCGGGCTTGATTGTAAATTAATGAGCAGTGCTTCTTATGAATGATAAGCTAGAAATGTAGGTTGTATCCAAGGCCCCGATTCTTGGTCAAAAGTGGGACGCAGACGAAATGTAGACTTCTCCTGCTGGCAGAATGTTTGTAAAAATTAAAATATAGGCCAACAATTAATGCTAAATAAACACAAATTCTGAAAATGAGAAAAACCTGTCCTCCTTATTGTTATGAGTAGTAGTAGTAGTAGTAGTAGTAGTAGTAGTAGTAAAACCAGTTTCAGTTCATTGTCCTTTGCTTCAGCATGTGTCACATTTTCCAACTCTCTAAATTCATATTCAAACTACTTTCATGTCAAAACAGACTCTAGCCATTTACTTTTTATTTAACCAGGAAAATACCCTTGAGGTTAGAAATCTATTTTGTGAGGGGGACCTAAAAACTGCAGAGGGGTGACTACTGCAAGTTTTCACCAATAATGTATATAAACACTAGATTGCTGATGCTATGAATTGGCCAATAAGAGGCTTTGAAGCCAACAGTCGGCCAGATTGGTACTCCTCAGAAGGAGCAGTCCTCCATAGGAATGACTGGAATTCTACCGTATTGAAGTGTTTCCTTGTTGAAGTGGGGACAGTAACATTAGTACTCTCAAAAAATTTGACTTTAAGGACAATGTTTTTATATATTATTTTTATGTTTAGCTCACAATATAATTTATATGTATGCATTAAGATGTCTGTAATAGAATAAATGTGGCAAAAATGAATGCAGACATTAATACATTCATTTCTATAGCTTCCAAAATCTTTTTTACAATGGAGGAGTACCAACATGGAGGTGCAGTGGCTACAAAACATTATCCCGTTCGAATCATCTAGTGTAAGATAAATTCAGAAAAAGTGAGACATCATATAAACTGGGACAGCTTAATCCTGACTCATCAACATGTGGTCCTCTGTAGCTCAGCTGGTAGAGCACGGCGCTTGTAACGCCAAGGTAGTGGGTTCGATCCCCGGGACCACCCATACACAAAAATGTATGCACGCATGACTGTAAGTCGCTTTGGATAAAAGCGTCTGCTAAATGGCATATTAATTAATTAATTAATCAACCTCATGATCAGAATCACATCACTTCATTGGTGTGACATCATGGAGGGAGGCAGAGCAAACTTCAAACAGGGATCTCACCCCGCAAAGCACAAGGGAAGATCAGTGACAGTTATATTTTCTGTTTTGATGGTAAGGTTATAAAACTGTCATAAATAATGCACTGTGAAAATTGTGATATAAATGTGCATACTAAATTATGTACTGTAGTTGTATTAATTAGGGATCCCCATTCGCTGCTGCCAAGGCAGCAGCTACTCTTCCTGGGCTCCAAACACATTAAGGCACTTACATTACAAATCAAACAAAAGATAAAACAGTACATCATATAACATTATTACATCACTACATATCTACAATACAAAATGTATAATACAACCATACAACAATATTACAATGTATGTGTGTGTAGAGTGCGTGTGCTAGCGCCTGTATGCGTATGTGTGTGTCTGTACCTGTGTGTGTCTCTTCACAGTCCACGTTGTTCCATAAAGTGTATTTTTACCCGTTTTTTAAAATCTGATTCTACTGCTTGCGTCAGTTACCTGATGTGGAATAGAGTTCCATGTAGTCATGCCTCTACCGTGCCTTCGGAATGTATTCAGACCCCTTTACTTTTTCCACATTTTGTTAAGTTAGAGCCTTATTCTAAAATGTATTAAATTGTTTTAACAATACCCCATAACGTCAAAGCAAAAACAGGTTTTTAGAAATGTTTGCTAATTTATATTTAAAACCCCCACAGAAATATTACATTTACATAAGTATTCAGACCCTTTACTCAGTACTTTGTTGAAGCACCTTTGGCAGCGATTACAGCATCGAGTCTTCTTGAGTATGACGCTACAAGTTTGGCACACCTGTATTTGGGGAGTTTCTCCCATTCTTGGCGTTGTGCTTAAGGTTGTTGTCCTGTTGGAAGGTGAACCTTCGCCCCAGTCTGAGGTCCTGAGCGCTCTGGAGCAGGTTTTCATCAAGGATCTCTCTGTACTTTGCTCCGTTCATCTTTGCCTCGATCCTGACTAGTCTCCCAGTCCCTGCCGCTGAAAAACATCCCCACAGCATGATGCTGCCACCACCATGCTTCACCGTAGGGATGGTGCCAGGTTTCCTCCAGACGTGATGCTTGGCATTCAGGTCAAAGAGTTCAATCTTGGTTTCATCAGACCAGAGAATCCTGTGTGCTAGTAGTTTAAACAAACAGCTCGGTACATTCAGCTTGTCAACACCTCTCACAAAAACAAGTAGTGATGAAGTCAATCTCTCTTCCACTTTGAGCCATGAGAGATTGACATGCATATCATTAATGTTAGCTCCCAGTGTACTTTTAAGGGCCAGCCGTGCTGCCCTGTTCTGAGCCAATTCTAATTTTCCTAAGTCCCTCTTTGTGGCACCTGACCACACTACTGAACAGTAGTCCAGGTGCGACAAAACTGGGGCCTGTAGGACCTGCCTTGTTGATAGTCTTGTTAAGAAGGCAGAGCAGTGCTTTATTATGGACAGACTTCTCCCCATCTTAGCTACTGTTTTATCAATATGTTTGACCATGACAGTTTACAATCCAGGGTTACTCCAAGCAGGTTAATCAATTTCCAGATTATTCATTACAAGATTTAGTTGAGGTTTAGGGTTTAGTGAATGATTTGTCCCAAATACAATGCTTTTAGTTTTTGAAATATTTAGGATGAATTTATTCCTTGCCACCCATTCCAAAACTAACTGCAGCTCTTTGTTAAGTGTTGTAGTCATTTCAATGGCTGTAGTAGCTAACGTGTATATTGTTGAGTCATCCGCATACATGGCATGTCGTTAATAAAGATTGAAAAAAGTAAGGGGCCTAAACAGCTGCCCTGGGGAATTCCTGATTCTACCTGGATTATGTTGGAGAGGCTTCCATTAAAGAACACCCTCTGTGTTCTGTTAGACAGGTAACTATTTTTCCACAATATAGCAAGGGGTGTAAAGACATAATACATATGTTTTTCCAGCAGCAGACTATGATTGATAATGTCAAAAGCCGCACTGAAGTCCCCACAATATTTGTATCATCAATTTCTCTCAGCCAATCATCAGTCAGTTGTGTAAGTGCTGTGCTTGTTGAATATCCTTCCCTATAAGTGTGCTGAAAGTCTGTTGTCAATTTGTTTACTGTAAAATAGCATTGGATCGGGTCAAACACAATTTTTTCCAAAAGTTTACTAAGGGTTGGTAACAGGCAGATTGGTCGGCTATTTGAGCCAGTAAAGGGGGCTTTACTATTCTTGGGTAGCGGAATGACTTTTGCTTCCCTCCAGGCCTGAGGGCGCACACTTTCTAGTAGGCTTAAATTGAAGATATGGCAAATAGGACTGGCAATATCGTCTGTAATTATCCTCAGTAATTTTCCACCCAGGTTGTCAGACCCCGGTGGCTTGTCATTGTTGATAGACAACAATGTTTTCACCTCTTCCACACTCACTTTACGGAATTCAAAAGTACAATGCTTGTCTTTCATAATTTGGTCAGATATACTTGGATGTGTAGCGTCAGCGTTTGTTGCTGGTGCATCAAAATAAATACAAAGTTTGTCAATCTTCTTTTTCAAAAAATTTTATTATGTTATTTTTTTGGTTGTCCCTCTTTACATTTTTACATTTACATTTTAGTCATTTAGCAGACGCTCTTATCCAGAGCGACTTACAGTTAGTGAGTGCATAC